GACCTGTGTGAACTCTAATTAGTGTTGCTTAGAGTTGATTTTTTTTACTGTGTATCTCAAAAACTGTTCTACTTTTTTAACTTTTAATAGTATTTTTTGACCTATTAATTATTGTGGACATTGGAAATTCCTGTATTATTTTAACTTCAAACACTGCTGTGAAAATTCTGACAGGTGTTTCTTGACATATTCCATAACTTATCATTATGCATTAAAGTCAGAGGCGTACCGAGGCACACTTTTTTGGGGGGGTGGAGACGATAAAAAAAATTTTCAGTAGTTTTATCATGAATGTAAAGTGTTATAAAGTGTAGATAAAGAATGTCTTTACCTACTATTAGCATGCTCTTTTGAAGTCTCTATTTTTTTTATTTGCTACCAATTTAAGTGGATTATCCGGAACAGTAACAATTTTAATTTTAACCAAATTTCCACCGTGAATATTTTTCTCGTGCATTTTTTTCTAGTCCTTGTTAAACACAGATCCACATAATAAGCATTTTACTAGAACTCGGCCAGGTCTAGCTTTCTTTTTCATATTAAAAAAAAATTAATATCTATTTATTGACACTAGTTTTACTTAGATAAGCTTCAACTAATTAATAATTTAGAAAGACAAAGCCGCGAGGCGGTGCCGACTTTGTACATGCCGCTTGTGTGAAATATAATGTCATTTAATAAAAATAAGGTTGACCAATACAATTTTCTTGACGGTAACGATTATAGGAGGTTACAATAGATTAAAAATTATAATTTTGTAATATGTAGGTAAAGTTTAAATTATATTTCATTTTATTTATTGTGATGGGTTGGTTGGTAGGGTAGGTATACCCAACCAACCGACCCAAATACTATAGATTTTGCCAACCCTGTTTAGATTTAGAACCAACTGCCAAGACTTTGGGGGGGTGACTCCCCCCCTACACCCCCCTTAGGCCCGGCCCTGATTAAGGTATTGCTAATGTCAGTCATTTTGTTGGTTATTTTGACAAATTTTATACAAGGACAAAAAGGTAACCCTCCTAGACTGGCCTGTAAACTCAACGGACATAAATCCTATTGAGAATTTGTGGGCTATATGCAAGGACAGGTTGCTAAAAATGAATTTTACAACAAAACCTAATTTGATTGAAGCTGTCATTCAGGTATGATTTCGAGATGACAAAATCAAGGAAAATTGCAAAAAATTGATTGATTCTAAGGCAAAACGAGTTGAAGCTTTAGAAAATGACAAAAACATATAGACTAAATTATTTATAAACTAGTACAGTTTGTATTTTTCTGCAATAAATAATATTTAACGAGTTCACAATATTTCGCACAATACTATTATATAATATAATATTCGTATAATTATAATCGTATGTCCGTATAACAAATATGTTTACAAATAGAAAACAGTAACCATAGTAAATGCTACAGAATTTATTTAATTTATTTAAAAATAGACTAAAAATAATAAATAAAGATAAACAACACCACAGCGGTATTCCCCGTTTGTAACAATTTTTGGTCAATTTTACAGCAAAAATTGTAAATAATTTTTTTTAAATAAAATGTTTTATCAAAATATTATGTATACATCTATAGATAAGAAGGTATGTTTAAAAAATTGGAATTTATGACCTTAAATCCCAGAACTTTAAACTAAATAGTTGTTTTTAGTAAACAAGCATAAAACACAATTTTTTATAGAAAATGTCAAACCGCAACTTTTATTATCATGCAAGAAAGTTTCACGTCAAATGACTTATTTGCAAGTATAATTGTAAATATGGTTAAAAATGTTATGTATTTATTTATTATATTATAAAAAATACACAGTAAAAAAAATCACCTCTAGGCAACACTAATTAGAGTTCACACAGGTCCACACTAAATAGTGTTGTTTTATAACACTACAATTAGAGTTAATTTGTAGTAAGCAAGTATGATTTAACACTATAGCACTGAGGATAAAGTAATTTTACACTGTATTAAAAAGTGTTAATTTACCTAAAATCGTGTACTTCTACACTTCCTGGGTAAAATCCCACTTTTGTTCAGTGTAAATAAGTTCTAATTTTAGAAAGGTACTTTTACTCTTTTAGTGCAAACTTCTAGTGTAAATTAACACTATTATTTGAGTAAAATCTATTGGTGGTAGTGAATAAAACGAAAATTTAAATAAAGAGAAACGTTTATTTGGAACAAAAATCTATGACAATTATCAAAATGGGTGCCTTTTAAAATATAATTTTATATTTGATTCGTATGGCTGGCTTAAGCAAAATGTTTCCTTAAAACGTTTTAGATCAATGCAATGTTTTACTGGCTGTCAACTTGTAAGCAATAAATTATCTTGAGAATTCATCAGTAATCCGTTTTTCTGTTATAAAAGGCGTCAGGCGGCTGTATGTCGGGGATTTACCACACGTGTACAAATTTTCCATAATATTAATAAAAATGTAGGTATAGGTTAATATAACATCCATTGCGCTTGAAAATAAAAAGTAAATCAAGTGTGTATGTATTTATATTATTAATGTTACAAGTACCCCGACCTACTGCCGTAAATTATTGATATATAATATAGATCGGGTATGGACAGCGTTTTAACATATTGGTATTTATTGAGTATTAAGGCTTGAAGAAAAAAGAAGTATAATACTTACCAAAAAATAAGAATGTCCCCTTATGGATTCACTGTAATTAAAATCTAACTGAACAAAAATGCCACACTTCCACAACGCGGTATCTCCGGATATGCACTGCGTAGGTATTTAGGTACCAACCAAAAATTTTAAAACGCATTTCGGTTATTACCAGTTTTTTCAGTCTATTTTACCACTATTGGTGTAATTTAACTTTAATTGTGATACAATGTGCACTAGTAGTGTAAAGAAAAAAGAACTCTTAGTAACATCAAAACAGACAAAGAAATTGAGACTGGGCCAAAAAAATTGACTATTTTTTTTTTTTGAAAAATATATCGAGAATGTCATTCAGAATGACAAATAAAAAATTTCGTGAAAATTTGAGCCCTTAATATTAATTTTAAGAGGTCTATCATCGCTATTTTTGATTTTTAGTCATAATTTTATGTTTTACGTTAGAACTCTTAAAACATTAAAGTGAAAAAAATTCCTTTTCACTTATTTTTATATAAAATTAAATTCTCTACAAAAAAGGTCTGCTTGAAAATTTTCGTCAGACGAGCCGTTTCCGAGTAATTGAGCTTAATAAATCGATGTGTTTTTTCGATTTGCCCTTTTTACTTAGAAATTTTGTAACTAATGAATCAATGAATATTTAAAAAAGCTCACGTCGGATTCTTAAAGGAAATTGAATGTTCTACAAAAAAGGTCTCTTAACATTTTTGCCTAAATTTAATTCTTCAAAAGTTATTCACGATTAAAATCGAAGAAAAACTTAAAATTTCAATTTTTTCTTCGTGAATAACTTTTGAAGAATCAAATTTAGGCAAATATGTTAAGAGACCTTTTTTGTAGAACATTAAATTTCCTTTAAGAATCCGACGTGAGCTTTTTTAAATATTCATTGATTTTAAATTTTATAAACACTGATTATAAAGGTTATAAATCGAATTGTATTTCTTAAAAATTGACAGTTTTTCACAGTGAAAGTTAAGAAAATGTTTTATGAGGACTTTACAGTGGAGTCCGTGCCCGAATTTAAGTTATAGTTTACTGCCGGCAAAATTAAAAGGTTCATACCTATAAACTATTCAAATATTGGCGTTGAAAAACTATTTTTGTATTGAGATAATAAAATAATTCTTACATTTAGTATTATTTTACAAGAAAGGCACTTTATTTTAACGATTGTATGACATTTGACAACTGTCAACTAACTTAAAACTAACTTCAGCCCGTGACTAAAAACCTGTTGCTAACTTTAGCCCGTGACTAAAGCGCCATAAAGCCACAACTTGTCAATGTGTATTTAAAAGGTCACTTAGTGTCATGGAAACATGTACGATAAAGGGCGTTTTAAAGGGAGTAGAAAAAAGTTTTTAATGTTAACAAATGATAAAATAAACTTAAAATATACTTTCCTTCTACACTATGGTAAAGTTGAATTTTACCGTCTTCAGGGAAGAAAAATTTTTTTAAATAGCAAAAATAATTACAAATGCTTAAGCCGTAGTTTTTATTTTTTTGTTGAAAAATATCTTAAATTAAAATTTAAAAAAATAAGAATTTTATGAAAATTTGCTCTTCACATTTTTAGTATGTTCTTTAAAAGTTGCAAAAATTTTTAACGTTTTATTCGTTATCTGTTATTTGTTACCTGTCCCCTTGTATATGGTTTATAAAATATTATAAATCACTTATTACTTACAATATGGGAACTAAATTGCATAGTCACTAGTACCAAAAGTGTGTACAAAATTTTAGCTCAATCACACAGAAATGCGAAGCAAGTTAAATAAAAATATAATATAATTTTTAATGAGAACCCACAGGCAATTTAAAATATAACAATTATGATAAAAATATATTTTTAGAAAAGAAAATCAAGGTTTTAACATATCCTTATAAACTATATTAAGTAGGCAAATATATAAATATCCATATGTTTTATACAAGAGAACAAAATAAATAAATAAAAACCCCGACAATTTTTCTGAAACAATTGGTAATATCAATGTCAATTAATTCGCGATAAAATGTCCTCTAACAATGTTTCAAATCGTTTAAATGTGCCAATGTCGAAGCCAAAATATTTTAAAATTGTTTTTGATGGAATAAAAATAAATAAACAGCATTTTATTAAAACCAGTTAAAAATTGCTCAAGATCAGGGTCATTATTAAAATAAAATAAAACTAACTGCGGAATCTATTATTAAACAATTTAACCATTACATTATATAGTGTTAATGTTTTTTTATGTTGTCAAAAGTTTTTTTTTGGAAAATTAAATGCATGAGTTACAACCGAGATAAACATTATTTTTATTTTAAATTTAAGATAAGAATTAGTGCATGATAAACTTTGTTTTGGTTGATAGAATTGTGGTTATGAGACAGTCGACTTGTGACAGATATTTTTAAGTTATAAAAGTGTTCACTAACATTTTAATATTATTATTGTTGTTATTAAGGTAGATTTATTTTATAATAACATAATTATTATAATTTTTCCAATTTTGACGTAATTTTTTCTACCTATGTATATGTAATAATCCTAAATTCGTAAACTTTTTGTAATGTTTATTATTATTTTAATTTTTGAATGTATTACATATTATTAGTATGAAAATAAGGGTTTTAAAAAAGATATAACATTTTTTGGAAATACAGGAAATTGCTATATAACTTTTAGACCTTAAAAATACGTAATATGTGTTTTTTAAATGTAATTAACTATGCGAAATATTGGATATTATTAATACAAACTTGAGTTATTAAAAGTGTTTTTAGGGAGTTAAATTCTTCTCAAGGTCCATTGGTGTGGACAAGTTACTTGATATATTTGTTTTTTACACGCTTTTAAAAAAAGCGTCAACTTAAAACTCACCCTGTATATTTTGTAAGATAGTAATAAAAAATGCATTTATTGTAAAACTGAAATAAATGGAATCGCGTTAGAAACGATTTTTTGGTAATCGTCCTCGTCCAAATTTTACACTTAAATTAAAGATTAAAAATCATGTAAATTACAAGGGCTAAAATTTTGACAGTAATCGTTTGGTTCTTGTCAGTCGTGCCAACAATTTATTATTTTGGCGCCATTTTTGGAAATTTTAAGTGCTAAATTTTACTAAATATTGTTGTAAAACTCCTGAATGCTAAATAAATTAAAAACCCATCAATTTAAATGTTGAAATCGGATAATTTTTGGCTAATTTTTTAAAGACTATGTAAGCGAATAGTGTTTTGGGTCGAATTCACAACATAATGGATACAGATTTTGTAAAAATATAGCCATTTGGGTGAATTTCACGATGGTGTTACCCCGTGATATTTAATAAAACTAAATGAGTTTGACCTACACTTTTATTGTGTTTTGATCTTTCATAATTAAGTAGATATTACAGCTCAGGTTCCAGATTTAACCGCAATTAATTATTTTTTAATGTTTTAAAAGTCTAAAACCTATCCTCCGTGACTGTTGCTCTTTCTATGTTAACCAATATGTTTTCAAATATCTGAGGTGGTAAAAGCATACTAAAAATATTAGTTCACTAAGTAAATTAAACACACCAAAGCAATCGAATCAAATACAAAATATTATTAAAAATTAAAAGAAATAATTTTTATAACCATTTATGTAGGTGTTACAAAAATTGGTTCTATCCTCCGTGAATCAGTTTTTGCTTTAAATTTTATGCAACGGATGGCGCTTAAATCATTTTAAATAAGCAAAAACCTCTGTGTACGACATTATATATGCATGTGATTCCTGAAGGTCAGTTAGAATTTACATATAAGCAGATGAGTGTTGCTGTTTAATAATTCAAAAGTTTAAGTTCATTAATTTGCTATTTAAAAACCTATCCACCGTGAAGTGTAATATCTCAGTAAGTAGATTTTTTTATAAATATTTTCTGTGTGTACAATTGTATTTCTAAAAAATATAAAGGTGTCAAAAGATACAATAACTTATTTCAAATATACAAAGTGATGTTTTATAAAAACATACGAAATCCTAACCTCCGTGAATCTCTAATATTTCTTAAAATTCTTGATTAGTGCAGAACCACTTATGTTATTACTAGACCAAAAACCCCATTTTGGACTAACAGTAAAACAACCAAAAATAAAAAATAATCATTTTCACTTGGGGGACATCTCAATATATATAGTTTTTTTTAAATTCTTTTATTATATATAATAACCCTGTATTTTTTGTAAATCTATTGAATTTCATTATTTCCACCATTTCCGTTAATACGTGAGTGAACGTATATCATCAAAATTAACAGAGAACTAATTGATTATACTCGTATATGGTTCATTAAATATGGATGCGTCAAAATAATAAACTATTTTGGTTTTAGTACTAATAATTATTATAATACAAAAATATGACGTTAAATATTTAAATTTGTATTTATTAACTAAAAATTAATAATAAAATGATGGTATATTTTATACAGCAATTGCGCAATACCTGTATACATTACTTATAATAATTAAGCATTTGATTGCATTGTCAGAAGTTTGGCTCACGATTTTATATAAAAATTGCTCTTTATGATTGCGATCTTAATTATGATAAATTAACATTAATTTTCATAAAATAAAGAGATCCATCCGTAAGTAATGATTTGCACGTGCTAATAAATTCCATAATAATTGTTTTTTTCTTAACTAATAATAATTATTGTAGATTTATTTAATTGTAACATAACAGCGATATAATAATAATGCATTGTAATTGAATTTATTTTAAAATAAATTGAAAAAAATTGGAAAAAAACGATTAGGAAAATAAGATGGAAATGAATAGAACACACCTTAAGAGAAAATCACAAGCATATTAATAACACATGGAGAAAAAAGATCTTAAAACGTCCAAAACAAGGTTTAACATTTAAAAAAGAAAAGCATGATAAAGGACAAAATTATTATTAGGTTGGCAACATTTGTCAACCTAAATATCATATACTGGGGGACCCTATCATCTGTCACGTGTCATTATATAGTTGACCTGTCACGCATATCTATATTCTAAAATCTGTTGAATGGTTACTAAGATATTAAAAGTTTAATTAAAATTAATTATAATTATCAAATAAAATTTTTGTTTTCATTTATTAAGTACAATAAATTTTAAATTAGTCATCAAATGAGATGTTCTAAATGCTTCCCTTGGGACATTTTGATACAAAAATAGTCTTTTTATAACTTCAGTTCTCACATTTGCAAACGTTTCTTGTGTAATTTTCGCAGATTTACGTCTACTCCGTTGTTTTAGATCATAAATTGATTTCGGTTCGGTGATGTGGACCTTCGATTTTAAATAACCCCACTAAAAATCAAGTGACGTTAAATCAGGAGACCGAGCCGGCCATTCGGTAGAACCACGCCTACAAATTCACCTATTTAGATAAGTCTCATTAAGGCATTGTATATATCTCTTTCTTGTAAAATTCGTCAGGATTAGCTTGAACTATATCTTGAATCATTGAATACATGTGTATTTAAGCATGTTTGACCTGTTAAACCTCCTTCCAAAAAGATGGGTCTTACAATATGGTTTCCCATTTGTCCCGCACATACATTGACTGTTTGTGTGTACTGGGTATGACCTTTACGAAAAATATGTGGATTAACATCTGACCAGTAGTGAACATTTTGCCGATTTACAATGCCATTTGCAAAAAAGTGAATTTATCACTAAAACAAATTAATTACAAGTACAGGGGATTTTGGATTATGCGCTCACACATAACTTCAAAAAATTGAATTCTGCGACCGGCTCATCTTTAGTTAGTTGATGTAATATTTTTAATTTATAGGGATGAAATTTGTTATGTTTTAAATATTTTCTAGCAGTTGATTTTGCTATATACAATCCCCTGCAACTGTCTTGGTCCCTTCCAACGAAATAAAAAGTAAAATTGCAGGCACAACTAGAAAATAGTGGTAAGCCTGATTTATAGATTGCCTTCCTTCCTTCCTTCCTTCCTCCCGTAAAAGATGATCAATACGAAAATCTTAGTGCCATTTATAGACTCCCGTACGGGAAAAAGGAAGGAAGGAAGGCAATCTATAAATTAGGCTTTAGACTAAACCGCCTTAAAAACAAAACTGGTACTTTTTTTTACAAAACAAAAACAAAATGTTGATACACATTTGCGATAATTTATACCACCAGGGCCGGATTTACTGAACAGGCAACGTAGGTAGCTGCCTAGTACGGCAAGAAAATTTATTAGTTTAAAAAACTCAAATTCTCAATTACTTAGCAACCGTTAAACGAATTTTAAAATAGCATCAAATAGAGAATCGAAATACCTTTTGAATGAGGTATTACAAGCCCCCTCTCCATTTCCAATGACTTTTGTCCGATTTTGATACCTTTTTTTAATAATTTTAATAAAACAGATTTCGTAATGAAATAATTTAAAAAATAGGTAATTTTTGCTTATTATTTGAAAATATTGCAAACTAAACAAACCAACAGGACCAAAACAAAAAAAATTATAAAAATGATAAAAGTAGGTGAAAAGCAAAGCCATAAATGCGATTAGGGACATATTTCCCTAAATTTAAATTATTTAACAAGGTAGTAGGTAACCTTATTTTCAAAAAATATCAAGCTGTGACGAATTAAATAAAAGTATCAAGGACATTTATTATCACTGCCAAAAAATAAAATTACTTCCTCCTTGTAAAAAACATAATAATAGGGCAAATTTAGAGTAGGCTTAGATAATAGATATACATATAATTCAATGACATATTTAAATCATTTTTTTTCAGGATAAAAATGCAAAACAGGTATGGGAAATTCAAAAAATATATACGTAGGTATATGTCGATGTTAGTTAATATTTATGATATGTAGCAAAGTGTGTTTTCCTTTGCTTAATATAAAACATAATCATAAAGAATCTTTTAATGATACCTATTGAACTATAATTGATTATTTATAATGTTCGTTAGTACATCCGTCATAAATACATCATCAAGTGAGGGGTATAGAAGCAAAACCAGCAATCTTAACCTTGTCAAATTTGTCTGGACACTATTTGCAAAAAGAACGTTAAAAATTTTGTTTCGGTTTTCTTGTAATTTAAGTTTATTTTGACATGATTGCAGGAAGAAATAATGAAAAAAAACCTGTGTTAATTTAATAGAAAATATTTAAAATCGTTGAACAACTTCTTGATATTGAAGAATAGTTGGAATATTTAATGAATTTTTATTTCGACCTAAACTAAGCAATTTTTATGTTATAACATAAAGTGTGACCCATTTGTTTGACATATTTTTACAAAATACAAGGCCTACCATGTCAGTTATTATTTAATCGCTGATTAATATTGGCGATTTTTTTATCATGGATTCATCCCCCCTTAAAACGACCCAATAATAAATTTTATTAATTTTTTTAACTAGGAGCGATTTTGTAGATAAATTAAAAATGCACAATAAAAATCATTTACAAAAATTTATTCTGTCAAGTTATCCATGCAGTTATCCAAGCATTCAAATAAAATTAAACTAATAGTAACATGGTTAAATATTTCTATGCTTAAATAAAATTTAGTATACGGTCGTTTTGAGGGCTGGTAAATCCAGTGCCGGGCATAGATTTTCTTAATCGGTAATTAGCATATTAATATTAATTCTTAAAAATTTACTCTCAAAACTGAAAAATGTAGTGTTTTTGTTCCAAAAATACAGTTTCTCAAGAACAAATTCGGTTAAATTCGCACAATTAATAAAGATTTTACAGGGTGGGTCGTAAACAAATCGGTCACACTGTATATAATTATAATTATCAAAAATTATCAAAAAAGTATCCCTCTTTTTAAACAAGGTTCCCAATATATTTTCCATATAATTTTTTGATTATGGTAAAATAAAAATTTAAAAATTATAAAATAAAAACATCTATTTATTTAAATTAAAAAAAAATAGGTTTCCATCAATTATCAACCCTTTTTTTAGATAAACAAAATTAGGCCCTTGTTAATGATATAATAAATACCTATATTAACAAAGAATGTCTGTAAATTCCTAATTTGCATACAAATCTTGTTTAAACCGTAAACAAAGGCAAATTTCTTACTTAATAGTGGGCATTACAAAACTAAAATACTTTATTTTGGTCTACTAATGTGTATAAATACTGAGCAAAAAATATTAAAAAAAATAAGTTCGTTAGTTGTTGCTTCTAAATCCTGTGTAAATTTAGTATCTACTTTGTATTTAATCTAATAATATTTAAATTTATTTTTTATATTAAAAGGCAACAGTTATTAATTATTTACTTTTTATCTTGACTAATTTTAGCTCTATTTTTCTCATTCATTCACAAATTCATTTGTTAATAATGTATTTTTACTAAAATTAAAATTTATACATAATACAGTTATCAAAAAATAAATTGTTTCAAGGGTATTTTATAATATTTTTAAAAAAATATAGCAAAATAGTACATTATTGACCAGGAGGAGAAATTACATATTATCACCAAGCATACATAGACTGTGTTTTATAAACTGTTTTTTAAGCATTTGATTGTAATATTTTTTTTAAGATTGTGAAATGTTTCATCATGTTCATCATTTAGGTTTAACCATAGATATCAAAGCCTGGGTTTAACTGACATGATGACAAGTTGATTTTTTTTGTACGGAGTTTTAATAATAATTTAACTTTATATATAGTCTATTTTTCCAAAAAAATAAAAAAAGGATTGTTATTTGCATATTAACCCCTAAATCCAAAAAAGCAGAAAAGCTGAAAGGGGTTGATGATCGAAAACTTGGATTTAAGCTTCTTATACCCTAACGATCGCAAAAGAAATTTAATTACCAAACGAATTAAAATAATAGAACATAAATATAGTGGACTAAGCGGTATTGGTCTATGTCTTCCTATTTTTTTGGTTATTTATTAAAACAAACTAACAAAATAATTAAAAAATAATAAAAAATATTCCCTAACCCAACACAATCAAATACGTGATAATAATAATACGTGGCTAAACACGTCCATACCTTTGTGGAGGTCAAAGCTTATTTTAACCCATTTCATTTCTTCTGGCTTTTTTTAAAACATAAATCATTTAAGATATTTAGAAATAGCTCTTTTTCTATCCGAAACTTGTTTTATCGAATTTTAGGTAGTTCTGAATCATTACGTTAATGGATCACATTTCAGTAATTTTATTTGTAAAGGTTTTCCAAATGTTTACTTAAATATAATTAAAAAAATATAAGTATATTTTTTATTATTATTTATTTTGATCAAACCCGCTTAAAATTATGCATGGACTAATGAATGAATTCTTTAATTAGTGTATTGGCCCGTTATGGTACAACCATAAAATTATAGGTACACGGCATTTTAGTCTACGCTAAAGCCACCAATGATAAATTAATATAAATAAATACAAATGATTACAGGTTCTCGTATATATTAAAGGAAGCGTGTCTCAGATATCACTGCAGTACCACGGTCGCGCTGGAGATGGAAGCAACATTTTATTTCGCACTGACGCTGCTGGGGATTTTAAATCAGGTTCAAGTTAATTGGGCAGAAGTTGATTTGTGCGACAGCCAGATTTACTGCCATGGGACTTTACTGGACACCATACAGATGGCGAGTGTGTTCAAAGACTCCAAAACGTTCGTGGATATGAGCTTGAAGAACAGTCCCGAAGAGACCCTTACAGTTTTTAACAATTTGATGAAGAATACTAGTAATGAGCCAACTCATAAGCAACTCACAGATTTTGTGGAAGAGAACTTCGAGACTGGTAGTGAGTTAGAGGAATGGACACCAAGTGACTACACGGAAACCCCAATGTTCCTCGAAAGGATAAATAGTAAGGATGGTGATATAAAAGAATTCGCCCAAGATTTGGTGAAAATATGGCCGACTTTGGGTCGTAAAGTCTCATCCAAGGTATCAGAAAATCCAGAGAAGTATTCCTTGATAGCAATGCCGAATGGTTTCATCATACCAGGTGGTAGATTCAAAGAGATTTACTACTGGGATACCTACTGGATCATCAAAGGACTTCTCCTATCCGACATGAAAACCACTGTAAAAGGCATCCTAGAGAACTTCCTATCCTTCGTAGAAAAATACGGTTTCATACCAAACGGTTCCCGTGTCTACTACTTAAACAGATCACAACCACCTCTCCTCTCCTGGATGGTGATGGAGTACATCAAAGCCACAAACGATTTGGAGTGGTTAAAAACTAACATCCACACATTGGAACGTGAGTTGAACTACTGGATCAAAAATAAGACCGTAAATATTGATTATAACGGCGAAAAAATCATGTTGGCACATTATGCAGTGGACAGCGATACGCCACGACCTGAATCCTATTTGGAAGATAGCAGGACTTGTGCCTATCAGCAGGAAGGAAATGCTAGGGTGAGTTTTGTCCACATAATTTAATTGAAACAATTAAGATTAAGTTTAATAATCAAGTTTTATTGAAAGGAGATTAACGCGACTTTGACCTTAAAATTTCCCGACCTTTCCTATAATGTGATACATACATGTGTTAAACGTGCACTTAATGTCATAATGCATGCGCCTTCCGCATTACAGTGTACTTTTTGCAAGATTATATTGTACGCTTAATTATATCCGATTCATACTAAAAATTTGAAGATAAATGATTTGGCAAATTTTATCAAAAATTGCACTTACACAAAAATAGAATCTGTGCTACCCCAAAAATATCCTTTAGTTTAATATTTAAAGTAAACGCATACATTTGCATAAAATATAAAGTTTTATTTATTTATAACGGATTAGCAAATGACTTTTATTACTTGTTTTAACATTTGCATCAAAAACGATTTTCGAGTTACAAACATTAGATGATAAAAACCAGTTTAAAGAAATTAATCCTTGAAATTTAACTCCTCTAAAAAAGATTATTATAATCAGATAATTTTTAATTTAAAATAAATATAAATTTATTTGTTTGGTTTTAATTAAAAATTAAATAAAATAATAATAATAATAATATTATTATGTGGGGAAAGTTCAAAGCTAAAATTACGCCCTTTGAATTCATAATTTTTGTAAATGGTTTTAAATTCACATTGGTCCAGTAAAGTTTCTTTTCTTTTGAAATAATGTTTCTTATTTTGAAAACGGTGAATCCAATTAAAATCTGATTTAACACAAATAATAACAAAATAAAAACTAAAATAATACAATTGTGGTTAAACCACATAATCAACCATTCCTTAATTTAACAATTTATTTAATTACCAAAAGCCTTGTTCTAAATATAAACATAACGCAAAAAACTTTATTTACTTACAGAAAAATTGTTACCAAGATTTAAAAAGTGGTGCCGAGAGTGGATGGGATTTTTCTACGCGTTGGATTTTCCAAGATGACACGAAAAAAACAAATTTATCAGACATCAAAACTAGAAGAAACATTCCTGTGGACTTGAACGCTTTCCTGCAAAGGGCATTTGCCGATTTGGGCGAACTATACAAAAAAATAGGTACGAATATATACAGTGTCCGCTTTCTATTTTTAGGATTAAAAAAATTATTCCTTATTAAAATATTTTCTTATTCAAGATCAGTTATTAAGTTATCTTGAACGAACCATTTTAAATACCATATTTAACAAAACATTTTTAATGGATTCGATTTTTTCATTCTATAGAAATATATTTAATAAATTAATAGTTCTAGTCCATGTGACATTTAACCACAAACAAGTTTTTTTAAGTAAATACATTCTGTTAAGAACGTACCTGTAATTTCTTTATAAAACACAACCTATTTAATTATATTCAAAATTTACTCATTCGACTTCAAAATATTGGAAAAAATAATATGTATGGATGATTACAGCAAAATTTAAAAAAATTAAAACCGACCAAATATCTTAAACTGTGTAAAAATGTATAAAAATGGTGTTGAAACTGGAAGGCCAAAAAAGGTATACCAAAGTAAATATTATATTATTTTCTAAACCTATCTACATCTGTCTTACGGGTATATTAAAAGATTTGTAGACAAAAATTAAATTAGAAAACAAAACACGTCAATCGACGTCAAAAACCATAATTTAATAAACCAATAATTGTAACTTATGGTTTCGTAGAACTACACATAAATCAATTGATTGCCATTATTAATACGTAATGATAGTAAGTTTATTATTGTCATAATATGAGCAATTCAATTTCATCAATTGATAGTATCAATTTGATACTCTATTATTTACTGGGGTGATTCAATTGAATTGTCCTTTTATAAATTAGCAATAATAATTAGACTTATTTTTATATTTGTTTAGGAAATTATAAAAAATCAAAAGAATGGAGAAATTATGCGTCCCTTTGGAACAGAAACATTAATACGGTTCTCTACGATGAAAAAGATGGAATTTGGTATGATTACGACAACGTAAAGGGAGTACTCAAAAAAGGGTTTTACCCCAGTAATTTTGCCCCCCTGTTCAGTATGTCCTATGATTTTGAGAGAAGCGAAATTTTGGGAGACAGAGCTGCTGAGTATTTTGAGAGGATGAATGTAACGAAGTACTCGGGTAAGTTTTTGATTTTTATAAATCTTTTAAATTTTCATTGTTAAAAAACTTTAAAATTATTTTTAAAACTTAATCATTATCGTCAAGCTAAAATGTAAAACAAGCCAAAATGTTAAGAAGCATAAATAAAAGCTATAACAAACAAAACTTATGTCAAGCTCAAATGATAATTTAAAACTACATAATTATCAAAAAACGATAATTAATAAAAAGGCTAAAATAACAATAGGACAAATAGTTCTGTGGGTAAAAGGCATAAGGGGATAAGTCAAAAAAAGCAATTTTTCAGTAGAGCCTTAAACGTATTCGCATTAATTCAGGAAACATATTTATGGTTAGCGGGTATACCCTTTTATTAGCCCATGTCATATGCTAACAAAAGAGTATACCCGCTAAACATAAATATATTTCCTGAATTAATGCGAACACGTTAAAGGCTCTATTGAAAAATTGCTTTTTTTGACTTATCCCCTTATGCCTTAGCCCATGTCATATGCTAACAAAAGAGTATACCCGCTAAACATAAATATATTTCCTGAATTAATGCGAACACGTTAAAGGCTGTATTGAAAAATTGCTTTTTTTGACTTATCCCCTTATGCCTTTTACCCACAGAGTTGACGTGATAAAATGGGACAAGCTAAAAGAAGCAAAAATAATAAAAACTTAAAATGACGACGAGCATTATTGATAACACAGGCCAGCAGCTATTTTGATGCCAGGATATTTGGAGCTGATTTTATATAAAATATATCAAATTTAGTGAAATATACGTAACACACTTTTAAAGTTAAATCTATTGATCAAATCAAATGTAATGTTTATTATTATATTTTTTAAATATATAATTATATTAAATTATATACTATATTACGAGGTGTGTTCAGAAAATAACGGGAATTTGTTAAATTTCGCGGGTTCGGAGGGTCCGGTTCTTATAAAATTGTCTTTATTATGTTGGTATACATGCCCCCGAAGTATGATACAAATTTTAGCTGTTTTCATTGTTTACTTTGTCTGTGGCAGCCGCTAAGGTTAGACGTGTTTTATGAGCTCGGCGATTTTTCGTTCGTTAAAAGAAATGGATCAAAGAGTTTGTATCCAATTTTGCTTAAAAAATGAAATACATTCTTTGAAATGTTAACAAAGGCCCATAGTGAGCCTGCTATAAGTAAAACAAGAGTTTTCAAGTGGTATAAGAGTTTCCAAGACGGCCGTGAAGACGTTGAAGATGACGAACGCCCCGAACGCACAAGCACATTAACAACCGATAAAAACATGGAAAAAGTGGAATAAATGGTTATAAACCATCAGAGAAGTCGCTGATGATGTTGGTATATCGATTGGCTCATCCCATAAAAATTTTTCGAATGTTTTGGGTATGAAACGCGTGGCAGCAAAATTTGTTCACATGTGCATAATATCCAATGGGGACTATTTTGAAGGCGACAACATTATTGTAGACGAATAAATAAATATTTGTTTCAAAAAACGAAAATTCCCGATTTTTTCTGAACGCACCTAGTATATACAAAGATGAAATCAACTACATGGTCACTAAACACTGAAGTCCTAAACCAGGTTTAGGACTGAAGTCACTGAAGGGTCTTTTGGAACAGCAGTAATCTGCCATTATGTGCTGAATCCATCTTCCTTAGTAGCGGTCCTCCATAGTTTTAATATGTCTGGTGAAATCATTCAAGTTGTTCCTCACTCATATCTCCTAAATTTTCAGAAAAACAATCTGTGAAAATAGTGCACCTTAATACTCATGTTAAATTCAAGGAATTTAAAACTGTTAAGCATCCAGGTAACCAGTTCAACATACTTTTCAGCTTTGCGTTTTCCCAGAAAATTTCTGACAACTGCATCAGATAAAGTCCAGCTCAGCTTCATTAATCGATTTTAAGAAGGCAGGCTCCTTAATGAATAAATCAATGCATTTGTTTTCCTGCTTTGAGTTTTTCCCAACTTAACTAAGGCATTTTTCCCTCTATATACGCAAAGCATGATCCGCTCTTATCAAGAGCTTTCACGAACTGATTCATAAGACCGTCCATGTTTTCTTTCCAAGGCCATTCTTTTCTAACCCAGTAGTATGTTTTGTCTCTGCTATTTCAAAGGAACAAGAAGCAAGGATATTTGGTGTAGACCAAGACCAAGCTAATGTGTTTTATTCTTCTTTCATTTTCGTTGAGTGAACAATTGACGCGTTTCTCGGAAAAACATCATTAGTCCAAAATTAACATATTTGGGAAAATGAAAAAAAACTCCGACATTCCCATTTTTGACCAAAGTACTTTATTGACCTATTTACTACATGTAAAAAATGTAAGATACTTTGTCCAGAATTCCTCATGTTTTTTTTTTCAAACGAATATGAAAAAAACACAAAAAATACATCAACATGTGAGGTTTTTAGAAGAAAAAAACGAACAATTCTCCTTACTACAAACACTACAAACTAAATATTAACTCTGAGCAACAAAATAAATGAAAAAACTAAAAACTGTATTACTGCCACACTCAGTCTTTGCATCCACTGCTGTTATCATCGTTGTCGACCGTGTTATCAGGACTGTCAGGTGCTATGGTCTTCTGGTCTTTTATCAAGTTATCATAAAATTTTCTATTGCTGTGGTCATGTAAAAGAGGTAGAAGCTTTTCTAGAGTGTCCAAAAACGTCACATGTTATGCACATGTGACTATCTTAGACGAAACGGAGTGGACTTGTGATGTTTTTAGAAGAACAAGCTAAATTTCATATTTAATTATTATGGAACCTATGACATTTTTACGAGAAACACTTATTTGGATACGTATATATGGAGGTTAGGAAACAGTTGGTGCTAATATCTAAATTTCGACGATATTGGACTAATGATGTTTTTCCGAGAAATGCCTCAATTGATATTGAACCATATTTGTTCCCATTGTGTAGGACACTTTTGAAACTTCGCCTTAAGCTGTCAATAAATAGGCGCCAATCATCTTGAACATATTCCGGAAGACCCATGTTTCCAGGAATTCTCTAATATCGTGACAAAACACAAGATTGTCTTCTTGAGAAAAGAAAGGTAGCGGACCCTTTTCCCTTGTAGGGTAAAAGGTAATATTGGTTCCTTTTTTTATCGAATTTTTCTTTTTCAACCTGGAATCAAGTAATTCACACGCGTAGGTACTTTAATAATTTTCTTTTTTTTAAGGTGGCATCCCCACATCCCTAATCCTATCCGGTGAGCAATGGGACCTCCCCAACGCGTGGCCCCCCACCCAGGACATGGTCGTAACTGGGCTTCACAAAACCAAATCAAAAAAGGCCCAGTCACTCGCGGAACTTCTGGCCACGCGATGGATCCGCTCGAACCAAATGGGATTCAAGCAATCCGGAGAAATGTTCGAAAAATACGACGCTGAAATTCCGGGACAATTCGGCGGAGGGGGGGAATACGTTGTGCAGTCCGGATTCGGATGGACCAATGGGGTTGTGTTGTCTTTTATTGATGAGTTTTTTACGATACAGGGTTATTAATATAGCCACTTAAAGTTTATCTGTCAAAAAGTTTGATAGCATTTTGATAGATAAAATAAAAAATGACGGCGTTGTTTGTGTGTGTGTGCGTGTAGAAAATCCTTGTGTACTTATAAATAAGTGATAAACGTTCCTTTATTTTAAGTATGTAACAAAATATAGTATTAAAATAAAGTAATTATATTTATTAACACCTAATATTGTATTAATAATAATTATTACACTTACCAGCTATTTTATTTAAAATCATCGTTTTTTACAGTGAAAGTGAAGAGGATGTATTATGGATACTCTACCGGGAAGAGTCTACTCTAAATTTGTAATGATTTATCGGCAAATACAAACGTACATATAAACCTTTTAAAGATTGGCTTGAAGAAACTATTTATTTTTGTATTGAGATAATAAAATAATTTTCATATTTACTATAATTTTACAATGACATTTGTCAACTGTCAACTAACTTAAACCTAACTTCAGCCTGTGACTAAACCCCTGCTGCCAAACTTCAGCCCGTGACTAAAACTAAAAGCGTTTTAAATGTGGGAGTAAAAAAAATAATGGTATTTAAACACAGCAAATTAATCTAATTAGAGCCAAAATATTAATAAATAAACCATTAAAAAGTAATCTTTTAAGTACCAGACTGGTACTACTAGTACACATTTGTGTATAGTTCATTCATTAATATTATACCTCCAATTAAATTAATATTTCAATTAAAAATACTTTTTTTTAATAAATTTTGACCTTACTTTGTAAACACTCGGTATAATCTAGAGTAACAAAACTAAGCGAATGTGTACTTCGTATATATAATACCCAAAGAAATGATATACTTTTCCAAATTTAACCTTACTTTTTGTATAAAATTTTATAACAAAATTATCGTTTTAGGGGTTTTGGGTATGCCAAATTCAAAAACGATATCTTTTTTAAATTTTAAAAATGCCTTATAACTTTTGACGTTTTTGGAGACCTTTTATTAATCATAGAGGGCCATGGAAATGCTATATGACAATGTTTTTTTTGTTTAAAATCTTTTCAAGTATTACAAAAATATTTTTTCAATCGGTCCCTTTTTGAATAAATACCGAATTGTCGCCAATCAAAATGAAAATGGATCATTTCAATTATTTGTATTCAAATAGGTTTTTGATGTGGAGCATAATAGTACAATGTATCAATGTAATAATTTTAGGATTAACTAAAAATTATATGTTTTTTTTTATAAAAATATTTACAAAATTGCAAATCTTTCAATTTTATGATTGATTATTTCCCTTTGGGTATATATAAAAACAAAAACATACATTTATTTAGTAAAATGTGAGGCGACATGAGGTTAATTTTGTCTAAATACGATTAACTCCACTCTCTAAAAATGAATTAGTCAAAAATAACTAATTTCTACAGTTATTAGTGACTGCTTTTTCACTTATACCATGGTTAACCATTGGATACCATGGTATCCCTGGGATACTATCCCAACATTTAACAACCAATTCTTATGTAAAATTGTCCCCTGAATCCGTTTTTGAGATATAGTCAATTTCATATTATATGGCAAATACTGTATCTTATATTATGTAGGTATTACTATTGAATATTAAAACAGCTTTCGTAATGAAGTAGTTTTAAAATAAGTAGTTTTTGCTTATCATATATTTGAAAATAATGCAAACTAAACAAGACAAAACACAGTTAAAATAAAAAAAATATGAAAAATGATAATTAAATGATAAAAGTAGGTAGAAAGCAAAGCCATTAATGCGATTAGAGGCATATTTCCCTAAATTAAAATTATATTTTTACGTAGTAGGTAACCTTATTCTCAAAAAATATCAAGCAGTAAAGAATTAAATAAAAATTAAATAATATAAACCCAAGGGCATTTTATATCACTGACAAAAAAATAAAATACTTCCTCATTCTAAACATAATAATGCATTCCAGCTTTTTAAATCAAAGAAACCTGGCTACAACAATATAGCGCCAACGTAAAACATTTTTATTATTATTAAATAAAGTAACAAAAAATATCTAGATAATTTTTTATTGGAGCTGTTCTCGTGGACGAATCGTAAAAATCAAATCCGAACTGTGTTGAAAAGCGAGTGTTTAAGTTGCTCACGAGGCCGTTAGGCCGAGTGTGCATTAACACGAGTTGAAGAAAGCTTTTGTCACAAGTGAAACACAATGTTTTTTCTACGACCCTTTTATTTTTTTATTGTTTTCAAATACAAAACAAATTAACCTAAAAACGTATTTGACAGCTGTTACTTTCATCTTATTCTTTTAATTTTTAAGGTATAAGTTACTTAAAATCAATAAACTTACTTTCTCAATTTAAATAAAGGCACTAAAAATTAGAATTTATTATACAAACACAATTAATTGTGTTCTAAATGATATTTTGACATACATATACAAATACAATACAAATTTTGTAACGGATGTCAAACGATGCTGTCAATTTCTTTTCACACAGACCTGTGACTTTTCACACATAAATGTCACTTTACATTCGTGTTTTGCCTTGCCAATGAAAAGATTCATTTTCTAAGCAACGATGCCATTACGAAATTGACTTTTACATAGTGTAGGTAGAAAAAAATATTATAATTGCAATACCAAGTTAATTTTTAATTACAACTAACAACTTACCATTTTTTATATCCTTTATTATTATTTTTTTTTAACCCCTTCACCCACTTTAATTGAGACCATCTATCTCTCAGTTTAACCTTTTTTAAAAGTGGCGGCTGGTGGATATCTCAGTTATTAGACATGGGACCCACATCAAATTTATATGAGTTTACAATGATTATTATTATTATTACATTATATAGACAAGTTCTGCGCAAGCAGAATTTCAATTAAAGTTTGCGAAAAAAAGTTAGTTTTTAAGTGTGCCCCCCAGCCTCCTGCCCCCCATATTAAGATAATGCAAATTATAGTGGCACAATATTTAATTCACGAAAGTTTGTTGACAAATTTCAAATTTTATTAAAAAATTTTAAGAATTACAGGTTGTATACCATTTCAAATTTTTATTATTTCTTTTACAAAATTAAAAAAAAATAGAAATGGTATAAAATCTGTAATACCTACTTGAATTTTTTAATAAAATTTGAAATTTGTCGATAAACTTCAATTCAACTTTAATTTGAATTATCTTAATTTGGGGGGCAGGAGGCTGGGGGGGCAGTGCCCCGGGGCACACTTAAAAACTAACTTTTTTTCGCAAACTTCAATTTGAATTTTGCTTGCGCAGAACTTGTCTATATAATGTCATTATAAAGTCATATAAATTTGATTTGGGTCCCATGTCTAATAACTGAGATATGGGTGTGCCCAAAATCCATCAGCTTTTTACCAAAGTTTGTTTTTTATTCGGAATTTGACACATTTGATATGTTGGTATTACCAACAAATGTTAACCTAAATATAATTAAAAAATAAAAGTTGGGTTTTTTGTCATATTTTATTCAAAACCGCTTAAAATTGTGGACCACTACTTGGAATTCCTTAATTAGTGCATTAGCACTTTATTGCACAACTATAACATTATACGCACACGGCGGTTTTTACTATCTTCGCTAAAACCACCAAAAATAAATTAATATGAATATATACAAACGATATAGTATTCTAGTAGTATATATATTAAATAAAGAGTGTCTTGGAAATCACTGCAGTACCACGGTGTAGTTTGACATGGGTGCAATATTTTATTTTGCACTTACGCTGCTAGCGATTTTAAATCACGTTCAAGTTAATTCGGCAGAAGTTGATTTGTGCCACAGCCAGATTTACTGCCATGGGACTTTACTGAAAACCATACAGATGGCGAGTGTGTTCAAAGACTCCAAAACGTTCGTGGATATGAGTTTGAAGAACACTCCCGAAGAGACCCTTACAGTTTTTAACAATTTGATGAAGAATTCTAGCAATGAGCCAACTCATAAGCAACTCACAGATTTCGTAAAAGAGAACTTCGAGAATGGTAATGAGTTAGAGACATGGACACCAAGTGACTACACGGAAACCCCAAAGTTCCTCGAAAGGATAAATAGTAGGGATGGTGATATAAAAAAATTCGCGCAGGATTTGGTTAGAATATGGCCGACTTTGGGACGTAAGGTCTCATCCAAAGTATCAAAAAATCCAGAAAAGTATTCCCTTATAGCAATGCCGAATGGTTTTATAATACCAGGTGGTAGATTCAAGGAGATTTACTACTGGGATACCTACTGGATCATCAAGGGACTTCTTCTATCTGACATGAAAACCACTGTAAAAGGCATCCTAGAGAACTTACTATCCTTCGTAGAAAAATACGGTTTCATACCAAACGGTTCCCGTGTCTACTACTTAAACAGATCACAACCACCTCTCCTCTCCTGGATGGTGATGGACTACATCAAAGCCACAAACGATTTGAAGTGGTTAAAAACTAACATCCACACTTTGGAACGTGAGTTGAACTACTGGATCAAAAATAAGACCGTAAAGATTGATTACAACGGCGAAAAAATCATGTTGGCACATTATACAGTAAACAGCGATACGCCACGACCTGAGTCCTATTTGGAAGATATCAAGACTTGTGCCTATCAGCATGAAGAAAATGCTAGGGTGAGTTTTTTTCACGTTTTTGTTCAAACAATAAACATTAGGTTTAATAATCAAGTTTTATCGAAAGGAGATTAATGACCTTAAAATTTCCTGATCTGTCTTATAAGGGATCATGGTGAATTATTGTGTTTTTAATTGTAAATAAAATTCAAGAACTAAATCTTTGCATTTTTTATGTTTTGCCAAAGGGTCCGATTCGGTAAGTACATTTGTTGGTGCAGAATTAACTAATTACCTAATATAATTTATATTTAAGTTTGGACATTTTTAAGAAATTTAAGTTCTCTAAAAAACGCCGACAACTGCATTTTAAACAACAAAATATACCTACGAATTCATGGCAACATAATATTATATAATATATAATGGTATTTTACCGTTGAGTTACGTTAGTGTGTGTATTTTATCTATAGATAAAATACACACACTAACGTAACTATACATAAGCATAAGCATTTAAGCGTTAAGTTTCTTAATCAATGAAATAAAGAATAATCAATCGAAATCAAGCACTAAACCAGTTTTTTAGTTTTTTCCTTGCAACGTAAAACACAAATAACGTGCGCGATTTAGCTG